TTTTGTTTTTGCGGAACCGGGGATCGAACTCAGGGCCTTGCACTTGCCAGAGAAGCACTTATTCCACTGAGCCATCTCCCTGGCCCCATGAAATGTTGATTGAGATCTGGCTCAAAACCTGACAAAATATTTAATGGACTACTTGATTATTTGAAACACATTATTTAATATATATGTGGAATCTTGGATTAAGAAGTAACAGCAAACATGATGTGCTAAATTGGAAAATGACAGTGTCTTTTGAAACACTATAAAAAATGTTCTGCTCTGAACAGAGATAGTCAAGTGCCAGCCCTCTTGTTCCCATTAAGATAAGGCCTAAAAATAGAAGTTCCATTTGATCCAGTTAGATGTCTTCTGGGTATATTCCTGAAAGAGTTAACATCATTATACAACAGTGATACACACATATCCATGTTTACAACAGCACAATTCCAAATAGCTAAGCTCTGGAAATGCCCTAAATACCCATCAGCAGACATATGGATAAAGAAAATGTGATATATTCAGCCATAAAGAATGGCTGCAAAAAGGTATTGGCATGAAAACGGGTGGATCTTGAGTCTATCATGTTAAGTGAAGTCAGACACAAGAAGTTAAACACTGCATAGTTCCTTTCATGAGAAACCCAAGATATAAACAAAGAGTAAAATAAATGACAGCAGTAAACAGGAGGCAGATGTTTTGGAGATCCGTAAGAGGGGGGAGGCCTGGGCTACATATGATGTAGATGTACCAACTCCACAGAACAAATGGAAGCACTACCTATCACAAGACTGTCCTGTCAAAAACCACTGTTACTTTCAATGGTCCCAGTGACTCACAATGCAGCCTTGAAGACTAGTTTTTGTCTCCAGTCTTTTGAGGCCTCAAAACAAATCCCTACCTCATTTTTCCTTCAATAAATCAGGCCATCCTTCTTTCATCTGCCTGCTTTGTTGTATTTGAGCCAATATTCCTTAACTACTCACTGGACTTTTGGTATCCAAAGAAGAGAAAATGTCCCAATGCAAGAGTTTTAGCTGTACAAAGCAGACAAGCAAATCATGCGGCAAGCAAAGAAACTTGTCAAGGGTGAGCAGGGAGCAGAAAGTACCACACAGGTTTGAAACTTTTTTTTGTGCTCAGTGGGAGTTCGCAAGATGAGCTGGTTCTGTGCTCCTTTATGAATTCTGAAACACAAATGGTTCCCAGGCACTATTTTCAGAGCTCTGCTGACATTTGTTAATAATGTTGGTGTACAAAGTCGTGCTCATTTTAAACTGATTTAGACACAAAGAAAATTAGTTAAGAGACTGCCAGAAAAGAAAAGGAGACACTCAAGTTACTGTATCAGAGAATGCTGTAAGTTTCAGGTAGAATCAAAAAGGGTCCTCTTCTGTCAGCTCCAAGTACTAAGGTGAAAGTGAAAAATTCAGGTGCAAATTTCATATTCGCTCCCTGCTGATGGAATAAGCTTAGTTGGTCTGTGGTACTCCAGACTCACTGCAATGAAGCCTTTAGTCAGGTGAACTTTGGAAATATAATGAAGACTTTGATGCTGTCTGGCTTTAAAAAATGATTGCCCCAAGTGCAATGCGGGGTTTAAATTGGGTTCTGAAACAAGGTCATTACTGAAAAACCAAGAGTGGAAGTCTGCCTAAAGCCTGTGGTTTCATTAATGCTAGCTTCTTGGCTTTGATAAATGTACATGATTATGGAAGATGGTAGGGAAAGCTGGGGAAAAGATATATGGGAACTCTCTCATCTAGCTTTATAACAGTTCCACAAATCTAAAATGATTTCCAAATAATTACTCTGATGAAATGATCCCCCATTAATGGATGTGACTCTAATATTGGAAAAGCAGTCGTGGAAGCGAGCCCTCTGCTCCAGGCGTTCCTGTCTACACATCTCTTTAGACCACAAGGCAGGTGCCAGGACAGCATAAGCAGGGAGGGGACACATCTGTCCTACAGCAAGGCTGCTGGGCAAGCACACTGTGTGGTTGCTGTCTCCTTTGATGAACTAGGAAGAAAAGCTGCACCCTGGAAAATGCATGAAACAAACTAAAGCAGCTGGGGCCCATTATCTGTCATTGCCCTCAATGGAGGGTGGCTACAATGTTTTAGACCTTCCCTTGATTCATTGTGCATGTTATTCACTATTAATAATGGAAGATTTACTGCTGTTATCAAGAGTCAACAGTAGAATTCCAAATTTTAGATACTTTTCTTTAGGTTTAGGATATGCAAGTGTCTTTAAGGAATTATTTCTATATACATTCAAAATTTTAAGTTTACTAGGTGAATGTTGAATTTTTGGCTCTTAGAATAATTCTTACTGTGAAGTGTATATACTACATTTTGTCCCATGCATTTCTTTTTTTTTTTTTTTTTTTTTTTTTTTTTGCAGAACCGGGGATTGAACTCAGGCCCTTATGTTTGCCAGGCAAGTGCTTATTCTACTGAGCCATCTCCCCGGCCCCTGTCTCATGAATTTCTTA